AAAAAAACCCAAAGTGAAAAGGTTGGATATGTTGATTCGGATGCTATTATGCCTGACCCTGAAAGCCCAGGGAAGAAGTTTGACATTGATGCAGCAGGCAGGAATGCTTACAGATTCTGGAACAGAACAGCGAGCAAGTTGTTTAAGGGCTACTGGTCCATTACGTCTCCAAGCTCGGAGAGACTGGCATCAGTAGGACCTGTGAGCACAGTTCAGAAATTCAGACAGAACATTCTTAAAGACCTGGACTGGATCCATACCAAAAGGAAAACAAAGGAAAAATATGGAAACATTTCCAGAACCAGTTAGCAGGTTTTAGGGACTGTGACTGGTTGGTTACCAGAAAAGAAAGGGGGGAGGACATTTTAAATAAGTTTTTCTTTTAAAGATTTTGTTTATTTGAGAGTGAGCGAGAGAGAGAGAGAGCACAAGCAGGGGGAAGGGCAGAGTGAGAGGGAGAAGGCAGGGAGCTCAACGATCCCAGGAACCTGAGATCATGACCTGAGCCGAAGGCAGCCGCTTAACGGACTGAGCCACCCAGGAGCCCCTCATTTGGCATTTTAAAATCTAACATATCAAACATGTTTTTTTTAAATCATATTAGTCTTCCCAATCTTGAGGTGGAGCTTGCTTTTATTTTAACTTCATGCAGTTAGACAGCTAGCCTCAGTAGGAATAAGTGATGGTCTGGTGTGAGAATGGGGAAAAGACCCAAGAAGTAAGAGTAACAGCCGAGCCGTCCCTGTTCTATTGGCCCCAGGCTTCTGGCCACCTCTGTGCCCCCCTTGCCATGGTATATGTGTCAGGTGGCGTGCCCTGTTTCAGGGTTCCAGGATGTATTGCTCGGCAGTGAGGCTTCTTCACTCACAGTCCCTGAGGTGGATTCCAAGTAGTAGAACCTTCTGATTACATTCTGAGTGATAGGACTCGCCGTCCATGCCCATGACGCGGGACGCCTGCACTGCAGATCCGCACGGATCGGGGGTGAGCCGCCGTGCACTACTCTTAGTCTGGTCTGACAGTGAATTTTCGCCACCCTCTACACTTAACCTCTGGTAATTTCAGTTTTGGAAATGATGTGTACAAAGCTGGGAAGAGCCTTTTAAAAAAAGCTTAGGAAATCACTAATACTGGTGACTTCCTTCGGTGCCGATGAGGTGTCAGAACGGATTAAAAAAAACGAACTGATGTTGTAACAAGTACGACTGGATTGTGTGTCTCATAATACACAGCTGGATGTATTTCACAAATGTATTTGGACATTAAAAAAAATTCCTCAAGAGTTTAGGTAAGGTGCAAGTAGTAACACCTATGTGGGGGCTAAACTGAGATTTGGCAGCAGAAGGGAGGAGTTCCCCTTGGGCTGGAAGTGATGACAGAGTTGATCTGCTGTTCCGTTTGAGCCCTGCCCATCTTCAGAACTGACGAATAGTTAGTTGAAGGGAGCCTTAGTTTCAGGGGCTGTATGAGGAATGGCCAGCGGGTCTGTGACGGTCAGTGCTGGACCCTCCCGGCCGCCTGTTCTGACGAAGGTTACGGCAAAACTTGAGTTCATCTTCCGTTTTCCTTAGGGGCCCTCATCAGGTTTACTTCATTCTAGAGAACGAGCGTTACTAAAACGTTTTATTGTTGAGTGATTGCTATCTTCATTTTGCAAGAATAATTACATAAATCTTTTCTTCACCGAGTATTTTGTCCATTAAGTAGGATGCAAGTCAGACACCTAAAAGTACTAAGTGCGTATCATAGTACTCTTAGCTTTCCAGTAACTTAGTTTGGAAGTTACTTTAAAAACCATAGTTTTTCTGTATATTAGTATGATAGCTTAGCTTTTACTTCTTTTATCTTTTTAAAAGATTTTATTTATTTATTTGAAATAGAGAGCATGAGCGGGGGTGGGGGGGCAGAGGGAGAGGGAGAAGCAGACCCCCTGCTGAGCGCAGAGCCCAACGACAAGGGGCGGGGCTCCATCCCAGGACCCCGAGATTATGACCTGAGTCAAAATCAAGTTGGCTGCCTACCCGACTGAGCCACCCAGGCGCCCCCAGCTTAGCCTTTATTATCAAAGTTTTAAAAAGCACTCGACTGTTAGACACAGCAGTGAATGCCATTGGCCTTCACATCATCACCTCTGATTTCAGGATGCTCAGATCTGCAGGTGCTCCTTAGCAGCGGTCCTGGCAGGGGGCTTAGGGCTCCTGTGCCACGTTGGGCTCTGCTTCTGTCCTGTGGACGGGGGCTGCTGCCAGTCTGTGGGGGCATCCCCCCACCACCCCCTACCTTGTGGAGCCCCAGGGATTGGGGACTCGTTCTAGGGTCCTTTGTTATGAGGACCTTCAGCCCAACGTGCAGAGTTAGATAAATCATAGCAGTCGGCCTTGATTCATCAAAGGGTCTTTGAGTTTGTAAAGTAGGTCCAAAATTTTCATTTACCCTTTAACCTCTGAGGTGGGTTCATTTCTAGAGCATATAGGAGATCAATGTCTGGGTTTTCACCCCCAGAATTTATTTTAATATTGTAATGTAGGATAGACCAAAATAGAGAACAGTTCTTTACCTTACATTTCCCGTTATAAATACTCTAAATTCTGTGTCATTTCCATACTATGTAAATCCCGTTAACATTTAAAACTGTGCCATAGATACGTGTAATATGTCCTCACTCCGTTTATTCTTGTCTTTCTGAATACAGAAAAGCACACCATTTCCACCTATGCTAAAAGCAGTGTGTCACTGGATTAGATTAGTCTTAACTTGGTATTATTTGTGTCTTATGATTTCTTAGTCAAATTCGTGCTCATTCACAAGATGTTGGTGAATTTTTTAAAAAATGTTTAAGAAATTCAGAATGAACTTGCATTTTGTCAAAAAGCTGTTCAATTGCCAAGGTTATGGTTCAAATGCATTAAGCTGCAAGTTACAGAAAACCCAATTTAAGGTGACTTGGATAAAGAGTGTTTATTGGTTTATGTCATTGGAAGGCCAGCTGTAGGCTAAGTTCCAGGGTTGACTGATTGGGTATCTCCACGGTGCTACTAAAAATTTCGTTTCCTTCTTTCTATACTCTGCATTCTCACCTTCCTCTTGTGATTGCAGCCATTACCAGACTTATATGGCCCCATACTCATGTGCTGTAATGTTTTAGGAGCTCACCCAGAAACCCTCTCCTGCTGTTCTATTGACTTCAGTTGAGGGGTGTGCCCATGCCTTGAACCAGCAACTGTGGCTTATGAGGAGGAGCTCAGGCTTGGAGTCCAGCTTCCCCCAAAGTATAGGGCTGGGAGGGGGGAGGCACAGAAACTCCAATCAGACCCAAATACTTACGCAGAATGGGGGGGTGGGATATGAGTAGAGGGCGCAGTCACCCTCTTCACTATCCCATGTGAGCTGAAGTCACTTGGGTTTCATTTATAAAAGTGCTTGCCTTGTTTCATTGGTTTCTACTCCTTCTGTCCTTAGGGGCTGTGACTACAACCAAACGGACGGGCATTCCAGCTCCTCGAGAACTTTCAGTAACTGTCTCAAGAGAGAGAACTGTGCCACGCGGTCCCTCCAACCCCAGGAAGTCGGTGTCCAGTCCAACTTCTTCCAGCACACCCACCCCTACTAAACACCTGAGGACCACTTCCACGAGACCCAAGCAAGAGCATGAAGGTGGGGAAAAGGCCGTGCTCGAGTCCCAGGTTCGGGAACTTCTGGCAGAAGCCAAAGCGAAAGATAGTGAAATTAACAGGCTTCGAAGTGAACTGAAGAAATGCAAGGGGAAAAGGACTCCAAGCATCGAAGGAGCTGAGGCTTCAGACTCCAATCTAGACGGAACATCCGCCTCGCCCAGTGACTCAGAACCTTTGATAAAAGCTCTTGAGGAGAAGAACAGGAATTTTCAGAAAGAGCTTGCAGATCTCGAGGAGGAAAACCGGGCCTTGAGGGAGAAACTGACTTACCTGGAGCACTCCCCCAATTCCGAGGGAGGCGTGAGTCACACCGGTGAGAGCAGCTGCCCAACATCCATAACTCAGGAGTCAAGCTTCGGCAGCCCGACTGGAAATCAGTTGTCAGGTGAAATCGAGGAATACAGGAACAACATACATGAAAATGCGTTACGGACGTCAGGCTCTTCAAGCAGCGACGTTACCAAAGCTTCTCTGTCCCCGGATGCCTCTGATTTCGAGCACATCACCGCAGACACCCCCTCCCGGCCCCTGTCCTCTACCAGCAACCCCTTTAAGAGCTCCAAGTGTTCGGCCACCGGCAGTTCCCCGAACAACGTGAGCGAACTTTCCCTGGCTTCCCTCACGGAGAAGATACAGAAGATGGAGGAAAACCACCACAGCACCGCGGAGGAGCTGCAGGCCACTTTGCAAGAACTGTCAGACCAGCAGCAAATGGTGCAGGAACTGACGGCCGAAAATGAGAAACTCGTGGACGAGAAGACGATTTTAGAAACGTCCTTCCATCAGCATCGGGAGAGGGCCGAGCAGCTCAGTCAGGAAAACGAGAAACTCCTAAATCTCTTACAAGAGCGAGTGAAGAATGAGGAGCCCAACACGCAAGAAGGAAAGATCCTTGAGCTGGAGCAGAAGTGCGCAGAAATTCTTGACCAGGGTCGCTTTGAAAGAGAGAAGTTGCTCAACATTCAGCAGCAGCTGACCTGTAGCTTACGGAAGGTTGAGGAAGAAAACCAAGGCGCTTTAGAAATGATTAAACAGCTGAAGGAAGAAAACGAAAAACTGAATGGGTTTCTGGACCTGGAACGGCGTAATAACGGCGTAATGGCCCAAAGTCTGGAAGAGTGTAAAGCCACGCTCGAAGGGCTGCAGATGGAACATGGTTCGATGAAGGCTCATTTGGAGAATGAGAAGCAGAAAGCTACGGAGACCAGCCCCATGGGGCACACGGCAGGGGGTCGTGAGGTTCAAGAAATGTTGAGGGTCGCTCGAGCTGAGAAAGATCAGCTGGAGCTGTCTTGCACCGAGCTCAAGCAAGAATTAGTGAAGGCCCACGGTGAAATTAAACATGTTTCGAGCCTCCTGGCCAAGGTAAGGAGGTACCTCTGTGCCCGTGTTCGCCCATCCTTCATAGCCTTCCCGTCTTTGACCTTGAGATTCACAGAGCGCCGAGAATCCTTAGCTCAACCAATTTCATTCACGACTCCAGCGTTCCATCTTCAAGATCTGTTCCATCGCAGACAGATCAGGGATACAAAAATGAAACACCCCAATTTCTGACTTTAGGCAGTTCAAAGTGTAGCAGGGATGTAGTGAATCAAATGAGTGAATACGATGCAGGGAGAAAGAGTATCACAGAGGACAGCTCAGAGTCCAGTGCCAAGGAGGAGCACCTAGAATAATAGGGGACAAACGAAGGTAGTGCAGGAGGGCTTGTTGGAAGAGGTAGCAAATAAGCTGAGTCTTACTGGCTCAGAATGAGAGAGAGTTACCCAGATCACTGCTAACAAGAGGATTAAAATCATCCCTAAGTTCCCTACCAAGTAATAATATAACCACTATTTTGGTGTTTTCTTTCAGATTTGTGTGTGTGTGTGTGTGTGTGTGTGTGTCCCACGAGTTAAAAAAAAATTTTAGGGGTGCCTGGGTGGCTCAGTCGGTTGGGAGTTTGACTCTTGGTTTCAGCTTGGGTCATGGTCTCAGGGTTGTGGGACTGAGACCCACATAAGGCTCCCCATTCAGCGGAGAGTCTGCTGGGGATTCTCTCTCTCTCTCTCTTCTTCTGTTACTCCCCCTGCATGTGCACATGTGCTCTCTCTCTCAAATATAAATAAGTGAATCTTTTAAAAAAATTTTTAGGCTAATCTTGTACATACTCTTTTTTAATTTAATGTTTTCTGAGAATATTCTCCTCATTTACTCTTTGAAACATGATTTTAGGGCCAGACAGTATTCTCTTATATAAATATTTCATATGTACTGGTCGCCTGTTTGTTGAACATTTATATTCTTTTCCAGTCTTTTTTTTTTTTTAAAGATTTTATTTATTTATTTGAGAGAGAGAGAATGAGAGGGGGAGGGGGGGCAGAGGGAGAGGGAGAAGCAGACTCCCTGCTGAGCAGGGAGCCCGATGTGGGACTCGATCCCGGGACTCCAGGATCATGACCTGAGCCGAAGGCAGTCGCTTAACCAACTGAGCCACCCAGGCACCCTATTCTTTTCCAGTCTTTTGATATTGTAAAGACATTTTTGTATATCCCTCTGATCATTTCCTTAGGAAAAATTCCTAAACATTGGCTTACGGTGTCAGAGGATGACCATTTTAAAGGCACTCGATACCTTCAGCCAGTTTGCCCCCCAGAAATACCATCCTGGTTTGTTCCCACCAGCAGATCCATGAGGGTGTCTGTTTTCCTGAACCCCTGCCAGGGCTTGGTATCGAGTCGCTGGGTCATTCACATCTGGGCTTCATTGCCTCTCTTCTCCTCCCCTTCTTCACTGGGAAAGATCTTCCCCAACCCACACTGAAATTAAATGATCACAATTTCATTTTTAAAAAATAGTCCTTTAATCAGTCTGGAACTTGGTCACATGATGAAGATTGCTGGTAATTCTGTGACATTCTGCTGGCTCACAGCGGTGCCGGGAAGGTATGGACAGGTGGCTTCCTGTTTCCCTTTCCCTCCAGGCTCTGGGGCCGTGATGTTAGGGCTTCCCAGGTGACAGAGATTGAAGCCACTCCCTACCTTGGTTGTCACTGTTTTAAGAGACAAGTTGTGCCATGAGCTCACAGGGGATTTTTTCTCTATGGCTTCATCTGCCTTCAGATTAGTCTGTTGCAACTTGATTGTGGCATTGGGCTGTCTGACGATCTGAGCGTTAGGTAGCGTTAGGAGTTTTTTTAATCACTGTCGGTGTTCTAAACTTACAGCATCTTATCGAAAGTATGGAAGCAATCCTGTTAGAAGGTACTAGCCAGGTGCCCATTTTGAAGTTTAAGGTGGTAATTATAGCTTTACATTAAGTTACAATGTCTGTGGGATGGGTTCCCCTCCATCACTGTTGCAAAAAGCTTGACCTCCCGGGTGACCTTCTTGAAGTCCCCCAGCTCAGTCCTTCATCTGTCTCTTTGTATTTTGATTGACATTACATTGAATGTATGTGTCACCAAGAAGTCATTTAGTATCTCAAGACAGTAGCTTTACTTTTTTTGGTCATGAATTATGTATTCATTACAGAAGGTTTAGAAACTACAGAAACCTATAAAGAAGAAAATTAATATTACCTTTGACCCCACCACTTGGAGAAAAACGCAGCTAGCATTTTGCTGTATGTCTTTTCAGATGTTTCCTCAGTGTATGCACGTTCAGGCATGCATACAAACTTGTATCAACATAGTTAAAATATCTAATCTTCTTATTCAGAAGGATAAAGTATGTCACTCCACATTCCTTGAATAAAGACCCGGCTGGATTAGTTTATCAATTCTGCTGTTAATCTATTTGATTAGTTTGTTTCTACTTTTATCTTTATTACTCCTATCATTCTGCTTTTATACATTTCCTTGGTTTCTTCTTAGTATTTTGAGTAAAATTCTTTAAGTCTGTCATCTCTTGGTTGATAGTGAAAGCATTTAAAGGTATGAATTTGCCCTTTATTATATAAGCTTTAGCTACATGAAGACAATAAAATTTAGCATTTTCTGGGACATACTAAGTCTTATTTGGAGAAAAAGAAAAAAGGTTTGCATTCTCTGTGGAGTACAAGGTACAGCATGTATGTTTTAAATCAAGCTGTTATATTTTTCATATATTCCATATTTTTATATTACTTGCTGATTAGAATGATCAAACATTGGTCAGTAGCATGAAAGAGCTCTAGCTGGTATTCTGAGGTAAGAGTGTGTGAAGCACCATGTCACATAGGAGTTTCTTTTATATGTATTGAGATCCTAGGTCTGTAATTTTGTGCTTTTTTTTTTTTTTTTTGAGATTTTATTTCTTTATCTAAGAGAGCATGAGCCAGGCAGAGGGGCAGAAGGAGGGGGAGAAGCAGATTCCCCACTGAGCTGGGAGCTTGACTTGGGCCGATCCCAAGACCCCAGGGTCATGACCTGAGCCGAAGGCAGACCCTTAACCGACTGAGCCACCCAGGCGCCCCTAAGTTTGCGCTGTCTTATGTGTGCAGGGGCACCGATCTGTAATTGCAGTGGAGTTGTAAACTGTGCTAACCTTCCTGTCCTTTTCTGTTACCTTTGAAAAGGTAAAAACCCAGACTTTCTAGGCTGCCTGGAAGCTTACTTTAGAAGCCCCAATGCAGGATATCAACTAATCCACCAGCAACCATCAATTCAAGTTATAAGATGTAAGAGACTCATGCCCCAAAGAAACAGGAACACTTTCAGCACAAGACCATCATGAAGGATGGGAAGGTGGTGGATTGGTAGGTGGAAAGCTTGGGTATTCCTGACTTAGCTAATGGTTCAGTCTATGACCTTGGGCAGGCCCCTCTCTGCTGCACAGTGCTGAATAGAGGTGTGGTGGTGGAGGGACCTTGGCCTTGTTTAAAGGGAGTGCCTTCAACATTTCATCAAGGATGTCTGTTGTAAGCACTTGTTGTGTACCTTTTATTGAGTGATACAAGTATTTTGCTTGCTTTTTTTTTTTAAAAAAAAAAGGTTGGAGATTGAATTTTTTCTACATCTACTGTAGATCTTATACATCTGCCATGATCTTAGAGTAGTTTTTATGTGATCACGGTGGTTTCTCTACTTGTTAATGAGATAAATTATAATAACAGATTTTCTAAGGTAGTCTAGTGTTAAATCATCTGTGCATTCCTGGGGTAAATCCTAATTTTTAGGTTCTCAATAGCCTCGCCAGACATTTTTGCATAGAACTTTCATGTTTAACTGCCTTAAGCAGATGTCAAGGTAAGTGTCCTGTTAATTACCGAGCAGTTTTCTTGGTGATAAACAACTTCTACTAGAACTCTTCATTCATCCACTCTAATTCTTGGCAAAATATGAATATTATGAGAAATAACAAAATCACATATTTACAGAGAGGAAAAGCAATACCAAACCATCCTATGATCTGATAGATGTAGTAAGTCCATATAAGTTTCCAGTTTGGCTAAATTACATAAATGAGTCAGATACTGTGAGAAGAGCCTCTGAAAAGCCTTAAAATTTACCTCTTTGGGGGGGTACAAGATGGATCTGTTCCCCACAGTAAATGGAAAATTGGTAGGACATTTACAATCATTGTGATTATTTTGGAGGCTTTTTATTCCTCTCCTTTCTTTGTCTTCGGCTAGTATCTCCATTCTTGTCAGCTTCTCTAATCTCCAACACAGAAATTTTGCTGGCAGCTTCCTGGATGATTATAAAATGTGCCACCGTATGACTTTGAGGAAGGGTCTCCTTCCCAGAGTCCTGATTGCTCAGCCTCCTGTAAGCCTCTCATACGGCTGCCCCAGTTAGCAGCAAGGAGCATGTCGTTGCATGAGATTCTTGGTTTTCTGGACAATAATGCAATCCAGGTTTATGTTTTTCTGACGTTCAAATTTTAAGTTGTTTTGGGATCTTGATTTCAAGTTAGAATGTTTTTACAAGGCTTGAAACACAGAAGTTTTAAAAGAAAATACTGATTTTTCCCCCCCAAGGTCAAAAGCTTATAGGTGGTATCCTTAGAGATTTAGTTCTCACTGTAGAAACTCAGGTGTCTCTTCCAGAGGAGAAAGGAGATTATAAAGAAACACTTGCTATGAGTGGTCAGGGGAAACTAGGGGTACAGTAATCCCTGTGTGACCAGTATTGGTCACCAGGCCTAACTAATTGGGGGGGGCCACTGGTCACAATGGCAAAACCAGGATTTGAGAGAAAGATGTGACAAGGATGGGCCCTCAGCTCTGTTGGGTCACTGTCCCCACGGCAGATGGGCTAGGATCACTCATACGAAAGCCGCCTGCCCATCCCTGGCATCTTGGAGGAGCTCAGAAGTATTGGTGAATCTATGTGGTGGAGTTCAGGAGAACGTAGGGATCACTTCCCCTTCGTGCATCATGCACTGGGGCACTGGGTACTCTTG